CCTCCATTCTCCTCTCGGGATCTTGGGCACGCACGCACACGCGCCTGGCGTGAGTTTTAAGCCATCAGATCCGGGACGCGAACCGCAGTTGACTATGTGGGAGTCCAGCAACATAGCCATTATGCTAACTGCTGGTTCCCGAGAATATTAAATAAAATTTCTGTAATGCCAACTTTATAGTTCCCCATCCTCTAGGCTTACCTGGGGAAACCCTACTTTGTCCAATTTCCTGACAAACTAGCCAATGTTCTCTGTGTTCTCTACCTAGGCACCTATATTGTGTGTCGGGTAGTGTGTTAACTTGTTTCTCTACCAGCTTTAGGAAGATGGGGTCAGTGGGCAGGGGAAACAGAACCAGAACCAACAATTCTGCAATTTTTATCAATCTTAAGTAACAAACCCTTTGCTACTCATCTCATGCCCTTCAAACGCAAACATCTCTTAACATTTAATTTTCAAAATGACCTGCAAAAATCAATTTATTTGAGTCTTAGGAAAACTGTTCTGTACAACTGTTATAAGCAGCACAACTAATAAAAAAAATCAGGGGTCAGGTGGTATAGCAGTAATACAACTGGATTTACATAAGAAAGATCCTGGCTCTGTGTCCTAGAACCTTCCTGGACACTCTGGCTATGCACACATGCCAGTGATCTGAGCTGGTTGAAGCTAGGGGTGCACCGTGGCAAGAAGACCCTGTTAGGGGTTCCCTTCCCTCTCCCTCACTCTTTCTCATGAACAGAAATAAACTTTAAAACAAATCGGATTGACTACAATAATTTGTGGGTACTACTTGGGTTCTATGTGGCTGGATGAGAAACTCTGAAAGCAGACTACTTGTGAAATGCAGCTATTTTTATCATCACACTCTAATATTACAGGGAAACACAACTCTACAAGTGAGGGATGATTGGCAATAACCAACAAAAACCTGAACCCAACTTACAAGTAGTTCTAAATGAAAGGAAGTGTAAATTCTATTTGCAAGGGTAACACCAAGGATTAATCAGAGACCTTTGAGAAAATAAGCATATAGATAATAAGACAAAGCTTAGCAAGCACTCCAGCAGCAGGATTATTTTTAAGAATTGAGTAGCTATGGTATTTAAGGAATGTTTTGTGAAAGACATAGAAATGCTTTAGTTAAATGGATCCTTCTGTGGATGAAGAAATATAAAGAAGGAGAGACCCCAGATACAGATTTTACATTTTTATAAATCATGTGGAAGAAAGTTACAGAAATGTCTCCATTTGCAGATAATAACTGTTCCTCTGGGAAAGTGAAATAGAATTAAGTTTGGCTTACAGCTGTATATATTTTGAGTTTGGCCTAAAGGTTTTTCTGCACATAGTGAAATGTAAATATATAAACAGACTGTAAGCTACGCTTGTAACAAGTAGCTGAGTCTCAGTCAATCATAGCAGCCTTGTTTCAGTGGATCACAGGCAGCCAGCTGCTCAAATTGTGTTCAAATAAGGCATAACCAATTCAGCTATTTCTGGGTCCCCTCTCCACTTTCCATTTTCCATTCATAAATGTTATCTGACTATATGGCAACCTCAGAATCAATCATTCAGAGTCTATTCTGGTTCGAGGGGCTGCCTAATTCTCAAATCATATTTTGTTCAAACTCTATAAAATTCAATTTTCCAAAAGTTTTTTTGTTTTGTTTTGTTTTGTTTTGTTTCTGAGGCCAGATAGTGGCACAGCAGTAAAGTGCGATGTTCTGGAAGGCAATCCCTTATGAGAAGGTTCCTGCTTCAATTCTGGAGACCCCTCCCTCCACGAGTACACGAGGAGGCATGTAATTATCCATGATCCAAGGCTAGTTGAAACTGGGGGTGGACTGTGGCTTTGGGATCCTGTAGAGGGTATTTGCTATCTCTCTCTCCATCTGTCTCATTCATGGAAAATATGTAATTCAACTTAAAAATATAATGCTTTTTTAAAAAAAATTTTCTTGGGTGGGGACCAGCAGTTAGCGTAATGGCTATGTCGCTGGACTCCCACGTAGTCAACCGCGGTTCGAATCCCGGACCCGGTGGCTTAAAACTCATGCCGGGTGTGTGTGCATGCGTGCCCAA